GTTTTGGGGATATGGTAGGGACATGGATATAGGGACCCCCGTTGGAGATGCCCTTAATACTACTAATTCCCTCATTAAAACTGTTGTTTTGACCAAAATACTGTTTCACAGTCAATGAGGGAATCATTACATCCGGATACACCTTTTCGTCAGTCAGTAACCCTATAACCTGGGACTCCGTCCTACCCGACGAGTATACGATGCTAAATCTCTGGGGTTACAGTAACCGTAAGGTGATCTGAGCCGACTTCGAAATTCGAGGAATACTTGTCGTATTATGGCCAATAAGATGACTCTATTTTCTTCCGTGGATAATTATCACGTTTGTAATGTCGAAACTTCCGTATACTTCCTCCAGACGGAAATAGAAGCACCCTAAGGGGAAAATTTGCATATCGTGACTATTTTTTATTTATTTTTAAAACTCTGAAGACATGCTCATAAAGTACAGAAGACAACGTGTTTACTGGACTTAAAGGCGTAAAAAAAAACAACACATCGAAATCAGCAGGTCAATTTAAAATTCAGCTACTAAAAGCAAGACAAATTCATACGGATACAAGGAGTTATTATCCGAAAATCAGAATGTCGATCAAATTTGAGCGGCAACTTGAGTTGCAAAATCCCGCGTTTCATGAAGGAGCTGACCGCTGACCAGCGACGTGCTGTCGTAGACCACCTCCTCGTACGCGTTGTACAGCAGCCGTGCAAGCTGCACCGTGGGGCCATACTTGAAGTGGCTCACATCTTTGGGCGCAACCCACGAACTATTGGCAAGATATGGCAACGTGCCAACGTGTCGCTGGGTGGCGACAACTTGCCCAATCGCGAAATGGTATGTGAGCACACTGCCAGCATAAAAAAAGGTCGCGTCGGGCGCAAACAAAAGTACACCAACCTTCCAGAGCGTATACTCGCTGTGCCAGCGTCGCAGCGTACAACAATCGCGTTCGATGCCCATGCCATCGGAATGCCACCGAGTACACTGAAAGACTAATACAAACGTGGTCTTATGGTAAAGTACAACTCTAACGTCAAGCCCAAGTTGACCGATGTGAACAAGACTGCCCGCGTCAAATGTGCCCTCGAATTCGTGCCACGTACGCGTTCCACGACATGTACGACTACGTACGCGTAGACGAGATGTGGTTTCACGCCACGCGAATCCGTTCCCAGCTTTACCTGCTACCTGGAGAGGAACCCCCGCATCGGTCGACCCAAAGCAAGCGATTCATCACCAAAGTGATGTTCTTGTCGGCAGTAGCGCGATCTAGATGGGACAACGCCAAGTTAGAATGGTTCGATGGCAAGATTGGCACGTGGCTCTTCACCCAGCATGTTCGGGTAGCACGTTCGTCGAGAAACCGTCCGGCCGGCACAATCGAGCTGCGGCTGTCAATGTGACGCGCCCTGTGTACAAGAAGATGCTCATCGACAACGTCATACCTGCAATCAAGGCTCTTTGGCCGCCGGAGTGTTCGAGGACCGTATTCATCCAGCAGGACAATGAACGCCCGCATGCTCCACCTAGCGACGCCGACATTGTCAAGGCCTGCACGTCTGGTGGGTGGGTCATGAAGTTGAAGTACCAGCCATCAAACTCGCCGGACTTGAACGTCTTGGATCTTGGCTTCTTCCGTGCCATTTAAGCGCTCCAGTAGACGCACCACTCGAACACCTACGAGGACATCGTGAGTGCGATGAACAATGCGTGGAAGGACGTGGACCCGTGGTCTTTGGAACGCAACTTCCTGACGCTGCAATCATGCTTGCGTGAGGTCATCGGCTGCGCCGGCGAGAACTCTTACAAGATTCCGCATATGAAGAAGGCTGCTTTGAAGAAGCGTGGCCGTCTACCCGAGTATGTCTCCTGCGGCAAAGAGATCTACGACGATGGTTGCACTATGCTGGGCCAGCATGACCTGAGCAGCGTCATGCTTGAGCTGTCTCTGCAGACAGCCCGCGACTTGGAAATGAGCGACATATTCACAGCATTGGAAACGCTTGACATCGATGACCAGGATGAATAAAGAATGTATGTTTTGGATGAAATATTAAATTTATATGAGTTTTTGTATCGAAATGCAATATTAATATATTACTTTGATCTTCATATGGCTGAGCATTTATATTTATAATATTTCAAGGGGCTCTGCTAACGCACTTCTGTGGTAAAACCATTGTCAAACCAACATTGTGGGCCAACATTTCAATGAGCCCATCATTCCCGAGCAGACCAACATTCCCTGGGGGCCCAGGGCTCCCCGGGCTCCCTGGGTATCTTGGTTGCGTTTCAACAGTGGGATCGGATGTTGGAAGCGTTGCCGATTGCGTGTTAAGGGTGGGACTTGGTGCTGGAGATGTCATTGGTTGTTCCGAGATCTGGTCATGGGTCTACACTTTCAGCAACAATCATGCCCTGGGATCACTTCTTACAAATCAGGATTATGTTGCAATGTCCGCTGCATATGCGGGTTCATACGTTTGGGCACCCCCATAGTCAACACCACACCAAAAATCTGAGCTGCTCAGTAGCCGCTGCAGATGCAAGGGATTTCGACCAATGGCGGCCCGTGTCTTGGACCACAATTGACCACCATGCCTTGCCCTAGAGGCGTGACGACAGCA